TTGAACTGTCGTCAATCGTGCTTACAGTTCACCATTTGATTGATAAAATTGTTTATAAAATTTCTGCTTTCTTAACTTTCAAAGATACTTTTTAAAACCGATTATATTTTTATTTTTTCAACATATTTATGCTGACGTCGATACATATGTAACACACGGAGATATATTAGGATCTAACCTTGACTGGATAGTTTGAGCATAAAAATGAGGAAAATGGCGAATCTAATTAGCTTTTAAAGCCGAGAGAAAATATAATTTATGTTATTTAATTTTGTTAAATATGTTTTTCTGATTTTGTTGTAAATTTATTTTATGGTTATTACATTTTATTGTAAGTGGTTTTGTTTTTATCTTAAATAATAAAATAAACAGTTGGGTCTTTTTAATCCTTTTCGACGTAATATCACCAAAAAGTTTAATTAATATCGGTGATCCTATGTCCGCAGCTTTTTCTTATCAGTAATTCTTCAATGTTATTGACAGACGAGATTCTTCCCGTTTGATTAGTTCTAGCTGAGGAATAAACTTAAAATATCCCGAAATTCGTATAAATGAAATTGCTTGTACGTAAGAAAAGCTTGAAAAATCAACAAAACCACATGAAGGGATATCCAATAATAATAAGAAAAGAACGCTCAAATTCAAGAAACTTTTTCCAGTTTTTTCCATTATTTTCAAAAATGTCGATAAAACAATTTATAATAGCAGACAATATAGCTAGTAACAAATTTACAAGAATTGTTTGAATTATTTAATAAACGTATAGANTGGTATTGTGTTTCTTAGAGATTTATAACCAGACGCAGGGTGTTCATTATTATATTATTGAGTTCAATTTAGGTTCGCAAAGTCATTCTGTTTCTAAAGCCACAGGGGTTTCGGCCGAATGGTTCTTTTCAGTATATTCTTTCATGGTTTTAATAGTCTGTAATGGGTTTTCTTTTTCATGGAGTGCCTAACAATATAAAATGTTCCCTTAAAAATTCTCGGATATTTTTTTCATAAAACTTTTAAAATAAATGTGTAATCTGTACTAAAACACAAAACGATAAAAACCTAAACTTTTGCCTTACGAGTGTAAAAATGTATATACGAATAATATTTCTTCTATATATTTTATGTTTATTACTTAGTTATAGAACTCGGATTTGTTAATTGTCTAATTAATTGTCAGAACATAATTGATTTTACCATTTTGTTTTTATTTCTTTTGCTCGGGGTGTTGGAAACAAGAAAGTGAATTTTTACGAAAAGAATTCTTACATTCAAATTAAATAAGCACGGTTTATTACACAATTATGTTTAAAAAACTTTGAGTAAATGAACTATTTTGTTAAAATTTGAAAAATAGTTTTTTTCAAACGGACTTCACAGTAGAGCTGATTTCCTGGCCTGTCTATCCTTGCTGGGTTGATCTGTCAGAAACGTTTAAGCATTTTGCCATCTTCGTGGGTTTATTTATTGATCAAAATTCACAAAAAGTACATTACCTGAATTATTTGTAATCTTAGTGCTAATATAAATAAAAATTCTCTCTGAAGAGGACAAAAAGGATCGGATATATTAAAAAAAAAAAAAAAAAAAAAAAAAAAAAAAAAAAAAAAAAAAAAAAAAAGCTGGAACATGCATGTGTTGTTATACCGTCTTATTAAAATAGATAACAGATTGATTTTTTTGCAACTTGTTCCAAAGATATCATTTAAAAATATACAGACAAAAATGATCAGTAAAGTCAGTAAAGTGTTACCATTTTGATGCATATTGATTTTTTATAATTTGGATTTGACTGACTTTACTGATAATTTTTGTATATATGTAATATATTATATATATATATATATATATATATATATATATATCGCACAATAACGAAAGTACATCCAGGCTTCCTTCGACGGAATACCTGAAGAACCAGACTCACTGAAGATATAGAGGCGTGAATCTTGATAGTCTTTAGTAGTACTTAGTTTAATCTAGTCTTCTTGTCCTGTCTATCCTTTTTATGGATTTGTCATCTTCAGTGCTGGATTTGCACTTCAAAACTAAAAAGGAATGATGTATTGCGTTTGACATACAAACCCAGCGAGAATAAACAGACCGGGATGATCGGTAACGATCAAATTACAAGTGAACCACCCACTAAAACACTCAGAGAAATCTCACTATCTATTCCAGAAGTAAAACCTACTTCAATTAAAGGACATAAACAGGGAGAGACTCTGACCCATGCCATCTGTGTAAGTTTTGTACCTAACACGACTCTTGCCAAGCAACACACATTTTTTAAGCACCCTTTTTAGGGGGCATCGGTGGCCGCAAGGTTTAAGGATTTGACACGGCGCTCATCACTGTAAGGTGAAGGTCCCGGGTTCGAACAGCGGCCTGCGTTCGAACCCGACGTACTTACAAATGGGCTTTTTTTCAAAAACACCGGCACCCTGAGGGTTTATATGACTTCTGCTGTTGCGAACCCTCGTAAAAAAAACACCCTTTTTTGAGCAAATTAGTATAAAATGTTTTGCGTTTTTCCCTATAATAAAATAGTTTGATATCTCTAGGTTTTAGGTAATAGGACATATAAAAAATGGCATGTTTTAATATCAAAGGTTCCCTCAAAATCGCCCGAAATTGGATCCAAAATGTGCAAATATTTAGAAAATAATTTTAATTATATTATAATTTAAACTTCGAGCATCTATTATTCTTTCATGCTTTCCTAGTCATTCTGAAATAGCTTCAACCAGTGACAGCAGGTTTAAATTGATCACCTCTTATCTGGTAGTACTTATTGTTCGAACAATGAGAGACCGGTTTGGTTGTGCTACCATAAACTAGATTTGACTGATTATAGATTCAAGTTCTTTTACCTCATGCGAACGTTGCCCCAGTCATTCTAAACGTACATTAACCATTGATTGAGGTTTTGGGCAATTTATACGTGTATTGTCGACGTTGGAGTACAGTTATGTAGAACAGAATGTTAGACAATCGAACATACAATTAGTTCAATGCACTTCAGCTATTATGCACTATTATAGACCAGGCTATTTTTAATCTTAAGTGTTGTCAGATGTTTTTCAACATCAGGCACCGCGTACTATCGCTGTTGATGTGTTCTCAAACGCAAGTCATTTTATATCACGAGTTGTTTATATTTTTTTAAGTTTTCTTTCCCGCGACCGTGAACAGCAAGTTGAAGGAACTTATTGACTTTATAAGTTTATTTGATTTATCACTAATTTTTGTTCAATTTATGGATGATGTAATACAACATCTATATCTTAGATTTAGTTTTTGTGTATGAATGGATAATTCTCATAATCTAGTTGTAATTATTTGTTGGTTTTTCATCAGAGTACAAAGGTTCCGACGACTTCACCCACTTTGACTGACTTTTTTCCCTTAAATTGTTGACTCTAGGTATTCCTCGCCTCCACGTATAAAAGGCAGCGTCCCCCGTTGGCCCGAACCATAAAATCTCTTTTATAAATATTTACGAGACGAAACCATATAAGCCCGGTAATAACTCGGTTTATTTCCTGCCTTGTTTATTTACCGGGGTCGCGTCAGAGTTTCACTCATAGGTTTGTTATCGGCGTTGTTTGGCACTTGTCAGCCTCACGACACATGCTCCCCTTACATCTGGCCACTGTAAACACTCTCCACCTCTTCTCGGGGCGAAACCATTTTTTTCCCGGACAGAAATGCCTATCTGTCACCGTGGTCAACACGTGGCGAGTTACATCACTCCTGACATTTCACGATCGCTTTCCATGTAATAGAAGACAAGGAGGACAAGTATAATAAAATTTTAATTCTTCCAAAAGTAGGTTTTTACAATACAGAGAACAATAAATCGCTATTAGGATAGTTTCAATAGCACGATTAAAACCAAATCATCCATGTTTGCTAGTAATACCAGACCGTATTAAATCCAGCAAGACTGAGTAGAGCAGTGGTTGCGAGGGTATTGACTGAACTGAAAAAAAACATCCAATTCGCTACTAATCAAAGAGACAGAACCACAATACAAAACTATTCTCCAGGCTGGGAGTCATGAGATTCATTACTACTGGCTATCTCTTCAACTAGAGAAACAATTAAAAAAATGCCTAAAGTTCTAAAACTGTAGGTTTCCAGCGTGTAGTAGAGCCCATACAAAACCCTCCCTTGGTTAAGCAGCCTCCTTGACAAGTTGTGAATTATTTATCCAAATTCTTTTCTTCTGTTTTGCTATTTCTGCGTGGTAAGTCTAATTAGACAAAATTTAGGAAAAATTATGGATTTTTGGTTCATCTTAAACTAAATTTTTTATTCTTGCTAATATAATATGTTATTGTATATTCCAGAACCGATTTTTAAGTTTGGGTAAGAACGCTCCGTCCTAAAGGATTTATCCGTTTTATTCCTGAAGTTTATTTATAGTTCGAAATCTAAGCTTTACTTAAATTTTAAATTTTTTGATAGTGTTCATCCTAATTTTGTGGAACTCATAATAAGTTCACGATTTTAGGTGATGTTTTTACAGATGAAAAATTAATATTACATTTTAAAAAACCTAAACTTATATACATTTTTTGGAAGTTATGCACCATGTCAAAATTTTATGTATTTTTTCTCCAATCAAGAACAAACGGCGATCGATTTTGAATTTTTAGCCGGATGAACATTGCATTCACTAGTTTCGTCGTCCGCTTGACCAATTAATATCTTTCAATTAATTAAGGTTTTTAGTTGAGATAAAAAATATGTCACAAAGGATGGAAAATTCAAAAGGTGTGGTTGAGATGAGAAGTTAGTGTCCGAGTGGATCGAGGTCACGATAGCTCAAGTGGTAGAGCAGCCGAAAATCGTAACACTGACTTTTATCTCAACTAAAAACCTTAATTAATTGAAAGATTGTGTATTGCATAAATTTTTATATGCATATATTAATATTTTATATGGTTTTTGAAATGATATACCATGTTCTAATTGCGATATTTTCACTAAATAAATAGGCGCTGATGATGATATAATCGTCGAAAGCTCGGGACAAACTTAAAGAAATGTCGTTTCTCTTGTGACCTCACCGAAGATCTATTCGTGTTGTTCAACAAACAGGTCGATACATCATCTCATCATTAAAAAAATAATGTTTATTTTATTTTTTATTTATTTTTGCTTTATTTATTTATTTATATTTTATATATTTTTATCTATTTATAAATTAATGTTTTTAAATAAAAATAATTACTATTGTAAAAAATTGTTATGTTTGTTATTTATTTTAATACCAATTAATGGCATAAAAAAAATCTGTAATCTTATCATGGTCAGTGTTTCGACCCCTTGCACAAGTGGCAGCTGAATGTTGTCACGGGTCATAATATCGATCACGAAAAACTTTTGGTCAAACAATTTTTTCGTTTATATAACTGTTTTTTCATTACTGAAATGGTTTTAAGGCACATAATATTTAAAAAATATTTTTAATTTAAAAATAGTGTTGCTCCAAATACTGGCAGTTATTGCTAGTTTTGGAAAAATAGCGAAACGAGTGTGAAAGAACAATTGATGACAGGTAAATATCATTGATTGGATAGGATCAAATTATTTACCACAGTACTTCGCCAAAACCTCCAGTTAACCAATTTTAGTTTTTGTGCTTGTTACCAAATCCATTACAGTTCGTGGTCCGATTGACCAATTAACATAATAACAATTAAGTAATATTTATGAAAGGTATTGGTTGAGATAAAAAAAGTAGCAAAAAGGAGGGAAAATTCGAGAGGTGAGGTTGAGATGGGAAGTTGGTGTCTGAGTGGATCGAGGTCACGATAGCTCAAGTGGTAGAGCAGCGGTGTCTTTAGCCAAAGGTCGTAGGTTCGAATCCCGCTCGTGACACTGACTTTTTTATGTCAACCAATATCTTTCGTAAATATTAATTAATTGAAACTTGTTACCAAAGTTAATTAACCCACTCAACGAAAAACTAGTTTGATGTTGGGCTTCGGTACCTTAGCCAAGAACAACTGGATGGAACTTCCTACAGTTCAGTCTATGATGTCTGGTCAGGCTTTAATAATACTGGTTTTAATAATTTCACTAAATACTAGTTTAGCTAAAGGGCAAACGAGTGAGACCCAACAATCAAAATCAGGCTGACTTGGATTATTTAACAGGAGCTATTTATCATCACCCGTACAATTTAATTTGGTTTGATTTCATGGTCACGTAGTTACCGAATAATCTAATTCCCAACCAATATCAGTTTGACATGGTGTTTCTTTCACTTAAACAAGTAGCCAATTGGATGGCATTTAGTTCATTACAGGAAATACTGTGTCAATCACTAGTCTACTCATTTTCGATGATTTTAAAAATATACTGTTATTAAGCGTTTGTTAAAACAACAAAACAATCATAATAAAATAATCAAGCATACAAGATGGTTTGACATGGCCAACCTAATGATTTATCACCCATGGTCGAAAACCTTTTACCATCTTTACGCTTTCACGGTAACATCGCTAGGACATTTTTGCCGGATGGTATTTTTCCAAACCTTCCACTAGGTAGCGAAACGTACTGGTCTGTTCTTCTGGTGATTATTTCCGCGCAAACATTTTTGGTCGATTTATCATCCAGTGTCCTAAAATAGGTTACGGTTCTTTGAGCTTTTCAGGGAACTTGTGTAAATGACAAAGCTATAAAATCGAACAGTGCTCTAAGCTCGGCGTGAATTGTGCGATTTGAACATACGATAGCTTCATCATGATTCGTGACAAATCTAGGTCTGTCTGAACTTCATTGGTTTAGTCATGAGTGTTTCGTTATTGTTCAATTTTGCACAAATGAGATCCGTTGGACGATATTAAAACAAGTAAGACTGATAAGATCAGAATGACCTTATAGTACATTGTCCGTACTAGAGGAAACCCCATCCGGTATGGTAGATTTCATGGAGAATGACTTCGATTCGTTGAGGAAACTTCCAGAGATTGAACAGAAAAATTAAAACTAGTTTTCTAGGCCAAGTTGTACAGTTATAATACTAATATAGAGACCGTTACAAACACTGTGTGAATTGTGCTAGGTGATAAACCGATAGCTTGAGCATGTCAACTCATTTAGGCCTTCCTGTTCTAAAATTTTTAGACTGAGTCATTTTTCAATTTAATAAAATTGGATCTTTATGACAAAATAAAACACAGACGAGGCGCTGAATTTACCAAAAGACAGTGACAAAAAGAGAGGAGCGTGCTCTGAGACGTTCAAGTCACGTGCATTTTTTTCAGTGAATAAAATAGTGATATTTTGTAACGTCTCAATTGTTTAGTTTCATTTATTATATTTTTTTGTGTCTGATTTTTCGGGCCAAACGGAGGTTTGTCGAACACGATTTCCGCCCATCCGTTTGCGTTCTGTAATGGTCAGAGCGTACAAAACCGGTTTTACAGCCTTGGACTTGACGTCTACCAAGCAATCCCGTTTCTTAAAAGAAACAATCCTAGAGAAATGTGAAAAATCCGTGATGATTCTGCTACTGCTGAGATTTCGTCCGTAGGAGGCCGGTTTCGCAACGGTGACCGGCATTGTTCGGGTCACGAGTGTCTCCGGGTGTTGCAAGACACATGTTGCAATGTTGCAAGTGCGCGTGGGTGACTGTAATAATCCCTCGAGGAGGGACGGGATCACACTCCGCTGACAATTACCCAAAGAACACGTAATCGGCCAGGAGGAGGGCAATCACAACGGACATGTCCCGATCGTCATACGCTTTTACTCTTTTTTACGCCTCCAGTGCTCCTCACGGAGTTTCAGCCTCCAATCATGAATATTGATTGTTTACCTTACACGACTCGTAACGATTTACCGAATCCTTTTTTTATATACTTCGTGCCTTGAAAGAGAATTTTCTTGCCTTTTCAACTCTATTATTTATAGAGGGGTAACGAGGTGTCGAAGATGGTTAAATCAATTTGAGCCCCTCTAAAATGTAAATCGTGTAAAGCTATCTCGATAAATTCCAGGTGTCCATTCTATTGCCTTCTGCTTTTACTTTACAAGCCTCCTGTCAGCCACTCTACTCACGTTTTTACATACATTAGTGATATTATTTTTTTTACACTCTAGATTTCAGAATTTATCTTGTATGTGGTCTTTGAATTAATAGATTGGTTACCTCAAAGCAATAATTAGCGCGGTTTTAAATCAAATACTTAACAATATTGCTATTGGTAGCCAAAGTAATTGATTCATTAATTAAAAATTACTTTCTTAATCTTTGTTAAAGACATTTCTTAAAAACCAAAAGTTTTTCTTGAGAATAAAAATAACTATGAGAAAATAGTTTATAAATTGAAGAACAAAAAGAAGAAATGTCAAACATTGTATATTATATATACATATAAAGATTATCCAAACCAAACAGCACCTACTAGAAAGGGATAGGGCACATAAATATGATTAGAACAGGTACAGGTTTATCCAAATATGAGCTTGAAAAGAAACATGGTATTGATTTTAATATGGAGAAGATCATAGACATTGAAAGCATACCTGGTCAAAGATTATTGGAAGAGTGCAAAAGAGAGAAAGAGTTTGTGAAAAGAGCGACAATTCTAGCAATTTAAAAACTGATTGCAATAAACTAAGTGCAATTTACAGTAATGTATTAAAAAATTAAGGTCTCTCTTGTGATTGTTTAAATATTACATATTCAATCGCTAATTTATATATTTTTAGAAACATTGTTTATATAAATTATTTATTTAGGTTATTGCTAATTTAATTGTATTTATTTATTATTATTCTTTACATTTATTACACTGTCTAGGTTTAAACACATTCATGTCATATCAACTAGAGTTGATTTAATTGGAAATTCTTTGGCTGTTTGGGGCTAGGTTGGTATTTATCTTGATACATAAACAATACCATTTTAACCTGAAGATTCACATTTGAAAGGTGTGGAGAGGTTTTTATAAAAAAATTTAAATTTTTGACTGGTAATGTTTCTTACGCTGTTATTTTTATTTATAACTACCTGCATGTAAGTTTAACGTAAATATTATCTCTATGTTATAAACTCAGATCAATTTTTATAAGAAATTGAAAAAACAAAAAAATTCGTTTTTATGTTGTTGTAGAACCCTGAGGAAGATCGAATATAGATCCGAAAGCTTGGCATATGTATAATAAAGTGTAGTAATTCGAAGACCACATACCAGATAAATTCTCAAACCCAGAGTGTATCAAAGTTGGCCGATAAGACAATACATCATTATTTTTTTAGAAATCTTTCTAAGCGCTAAACAAAAAAAGTTTAGCCGACGTTATTGGTGGTCAGGCACTATTAATTATTGCAATTTTAAATATTTTTACGATTATAAATTTACGAAATGCACTAAATTAAATTAATTGCTGTCGGTATCTTATAAAGTTAGTTGATAGAGCGATTTGAATATTTATTCATTAATCTTTTCATTTCTGTTCAATGGACTGACATATAATACTGATTTGTAGCTATCTATCTTTGGATGTATTTTCGTATTGTGTAACTAGCTATATTGATGAAATAATAGGTTCCCCTCTCTCTCTCACCCGCTCTCTTTCTTCTCTCCTTTTTCTTTTTTTTACTTTCAGTCTGTNTCTCTCTCTCTCTCTCTCTCTCTCTCTCTCTCTCTCTTTCTCTCTCTCTCTCACTCTCACTCTCTGTCTGTCTGTCAGTCTGTTTGTCTGTCTGTCTGTCTGTCTCTCTCTCTCTCTCTCTCTCACTCTCTCTCTCTTTCTCTCTAGTACTTTATTACTATTCACACTCTATATACCTATATCAATCAAATTTTGGGGCTATTGTAAAAAATTGTAGATTGCTCTATTAGTTCACGTTAATCAGTGAATCGTACTCTTTCCTCTCTGGTTTTCTCTGATTTAGCATGATTTCGAAACGATTGTCACAGTAAAGTGTCATGGTTGTCTAGCGACGAAATTGAGGATTTGTTACGTATTAATTTGCCATTACTCTTGACTATTAACTACTTCAATTGATACCCGGTCAAATTTTTAAATTGAGTTAAGAAGCTGGGCTTATAGTGTTAAACAGGATTTTAAGGGTAAAAATTACAAT